GGCACGAAGCGGCCTTGGGAATCCGCAGAAACCTCTGGGGCCAAAACCGAAGTATATGAAGCGAGGGCCGCTTCACGACTGACGAGTCCCCTCCGAATTAGCTCCTCTGGGCGGGCGCCACTAGACAATCGACCCACCCTCCTCACTTCTACTTCTGGGAGCCCCCCGCGAGCAAGTTCCAGGGCGCCCTGGCGCCCCCCTCCAACAGCCCCGCGAGGCGCTGCCCCTATGGTGACCCCCCCGCCCTGGCGAACGAGCACTGAGCGCGGCGCCCCGTCGATGTCGTTCATGGTCTTGTCGTGGATCGCCAGCGCCCACTGCGGGCGCACCTTGCCCCCCATGCGCTCGCTCTTCTTCCCCCCTGCCCTGCGAGGCTCGCGCTCTATGACACTTCGTTCCCACCGCCATGTCGTTTAGTTCGCGCATCATGATGTGATTGCGCCAGTAGTCCGTCATAATCTCTCTTGGCTTGCCTTCCTCTGTGCTCGCGAGGGGCGCGCAGATGAAGTCCTTCCACGCGCGTGGATGAGGGCTGCCCAGCTTGCCCGCGCCCGCCGCGTCGTCGTTCCTGCCCTCCCCGCGCGGCAGCATCGCCGCCTCGCGGTAGCCCCTGCCCGGCCCTGCCCGCATGGATCACCGCCGCGATGCGCGGGGTCGCCGCCGGGGTGAGCGCCGCGACGAAGACCGCGATGATGACCGCGCGCAGAGCCCCCGCCATGCTGGGCACCAGCTTGCCGGGGATTGCGACGAGGGCCTGCGCGATCTGCGCCTTGCTGGCGCCTTTGCCCGCGCCAGCCCTGGCCTCTGCCGCGACCTCGTCCCCCTTCAGAGACTTGGGCTTGGGCCCCTCCTCCATGTTGCTCTCGCCTGCGCCGCGCTCGCCTTTGGGCAGCGCCCGCTTCGTCCTGCGCCCACTGCGGCGCACCGACGTCCGCCGCCACGCCGACGACTATTGCCCGCTGTGGCGGGCGCGTGACTATCAGGAAGACATGGGAGATGCCGTGCTAGATGCCTACGAAGCTCGAGCCACCTGCCGCGCAATCGCATCCAGCACGCACCAGGGATCCAAGCTCGAAGGGCTGCGCGAAAGCACAGGCGAGCCCAGCAACGCAATGGCCTCGCGTGATAGGTCGAGCGAGGTGCCGCCGAACCGTGACGGGCGACGCGGATGCACTCTGGCAGGCGGTGCACTCGTTCGCGGGGTCGTAGAGCGAGCGCAAGTTCACGGTGTTGCGCACTGCCGTCCGAACGTGAGCACGAAGGGCGCGTTGAATAGAAAGTCCCTCCGCAGGTCCTCACCTCCACATCCGCCAGGCACTCTTGAACCTCCTCCACCTCGTGAGTCATTAGCTCCTCCCCCTGCTGCTCCAAGGCTGGGGGGGGGGGGGGGGGGGGGGGGGGGGGCGACGTGCTGGGGGTGCTGCGTTGCGTTTGAAATCACGGGCTAGAGGGATAGTGACGTCGACGGAGCAGAACTGGGAGCGCCATGCAGGATCTTTCTTTGCCAACCACTGCACGCGGACCAGCCATCCCTCGCAGGCCCGGCGAGAGATGGCTGGTCCACCTCCTGGACACGTCTGACCCAAGGGTCGGCACGGCCTGAAATACTTCCATAATCTGCCACCGCGTTTGTCGTCTGGCCACTGATGGTGCCAAAAAGCGCCCAGAATAACGGCGCGCTGTCGTTGCGATCCTCTGCTGCCGGTTGCAGCCACCGTAGCCTCCTCGCGCGCAGTTCCACTTCAGCCCTTGCTATCTTCCAGCGAGCCACGATCTCCGCGTTCTCGAATGAGCGCCCTGCACCATCTTAATTCCACGAGCACGCTCTCTCTATCAGTGCGATCCCCGCCAAAGAAGCGGCCGCTCCATCTATGCCGTCGCACGGCCGCCTAGTGGGCAGGACGCCTGCACTGCAGAGGGCGCCGCGTTTACCACTCGCACCAGCAGTGCTGCGCGGCGCCACCTCCGCAGAATTCTAGCCGCGCCCCAGAACGACCCCATCGGAAAAATGCTGCCCTGGCTGCTTGCAATCCCTTCGTCAGTTCCACTCCGAAGCTCTGCGCGCCGTTGATGGTGGGGCCGAGGTGCTTGGCTTTGTCCACTAGCCGCCCCTCCCATTGCCGCCGCGCGTGCCGCCGTCGCAAACCCCTTCTCGCAATCCCGCCCGCAAGTCCATGGATGGCCATGGCGGTCGCCTGCTTGCTCTCGTTCTGCGCGAGCCCGGTGCCCAGAAGACAGGCGTCCACTATGCTGTCGCTGCCTTGCAGCTTGCTTCGTAATTTTTCCAAATCAACATCCTCCTCGCGCGCAGGCGGATGCTGCAAGATCTCCTGAATGAGGTCATCTGCGTGCAGGTGCGCGCTGGGGTCCGCTTGGCGCATCGCACTCGGGCGCTCTACCACCAACGCCCGATCAGCAGCATCCTTTGCCCGCCACTGCTCAATCAACGGCAAAATGGCGAGGGGGCAGGCGCGGGGGAAGCAGCGCGCCATGAACAGGTCCAGTCGTAGGTCGCGCGGGCGAACGAGCTCCGCTGCAGCCTTCTCCATGCAGTGCCATCCGGCCAATCCTTGAAACTGTCGACGTGGGAGCACTGAGGCTGCCGTGGCCTGTGCGCCGTCGCCATGGATGCCATGCTAGCAGTCTCTCGTCGCCGCCCATGAGCATGCCCGCGATGTTCTGGCGGTTCTGGCGGGAGGAGCCCAGGTCGTCGCGCTCCGATGCGCGTCGCAAGGAAGCCTTTGCCCAAGACGCGAAAGATGTGCAAAGATGTCATGCCTTTTGCCCCTGGTGCCTCGCTTTTCTGGGCAGCATAGCATTCACTGATGTGCCAGTCCTTCGGCGTGAGCCGGTGGTTGCGCAGGTTGTAGACAGCCGAATGCAGGGCCGCCTCGATGTAACTGTAGCCCGTGTCTGCGGGGTCGAAGCCATGCCCCTTCTGTGTAGCATCGCGAACAGGGCGTAAGGTCATCCAGCAGAGCTACGCGGGTGGCGATTGTGCTGGGCACGCCTTGCACCTGCGCTTTGGGCCTCTTAGTGTCCCTCTGACTCTCCAGGGAAGTACCCGTCGCGCGGTCGTTGTCAAAAACGGGGATCTGACCAGGGCACTCTTCCAGCATGTGGTCCCACGGGCCGGGCATACTGGGCAAGTCGCCTGGCACTTTTTCGTTTTCAACCTCAACCCCTGTAACTCGTGGGTGATGTGTGATCTCCACCGCGCTCATGCCTCCCTCGCGCCCTGGCGTCTCGAGCGCGCTCGCCCACTCGGTCTTCGTCGGGTGCGCCCGGGGAAGAGCTCGAAGGTCCCGCCATGCTGTGCCCGCCCGATTGCTGCCCAGCCTGATCGTAGCCCGATGCGCATGCGCACAGCGTTTAGAATCCGAATGCTCCTATATGTCCCGCGATATTGCCTCTGGAGTCCGTTGCCGTGTCCATTTTCTGACTTTGCCACGCTCCCGCGATGTTAATGCAAGCTGCGCCACTACCTCCTGTTCCGTCGCGGCCGATGCCCACGCCGATGCCCACGTCGCCTCTCTGAGGTCTCGCCTCTGCCAAAGAATCTGGAGCCGTGCTTGCCGAAGGTGCCGGTAACTTTCGTCCACGCGAATAGGTTCCAGAAGCAGTTGCTTACCATAGTCCACCATCTGCTGCTCAATGTACGTGAGCATCGCGTCTGGGGTGGACTGCAAACCAAGCGCCGACCCATTCTGACATATGAAGCTGCAAATGTTGATGAAGCCTCTGCAAGAAGACGTGCTTGCGATCCTCGTGTCGAAGAGCGTACACTGGTGCATCTCTGTCCCACTTCTCCTGGACAGGTTCATCTCTCTGGTCGCCACAGGTTGCCAGGCGGTCATAAGTAACTTAGCGTGAAATTTTACATGGTCCCGCAACGCTCGATCAGGAATGTGCTGCGACCTCGTGCCCAGCCCACATCCTTCCATGCCAACGGGCCGATGGTGTAGCCGAGCCTTGAGGTCTCTCCTGTATGTCCGCGTCAGGTGGGCAGCAACGAGTCGTTGAAGACGACGAGGTGGTGACGTCGCAATACGTCGCGTGTCATCTCGCCTGCTCCCTTCATGAACTCCTTCGTCGCGTGCGCTTCGCTGATGCCCCCCCTTCCGATGTAACCTTGATCCTTCTGTGCCCCGATGCCGACGCCGCCACTCCGCGCAAATAAGCGGCAACGAGGAATGCAGGGTGTTCAGCAGCACGTGGTCCTGTCATTTGTGCGCAGATCTCTCGGTAATGTGTTCCTGCCTTGGCTGACTTTGGCTTCGGCGGAGAATACATCGCAATTGCCGTGATATCCATGAATCCACTATTGCATCTGGCTGCCAAGACTCTGACTTGGAGGGGGGCGGGCGTGGCGTGTACTCGTCGTACATATGTTCGATTCACGCGCCTCCCCCAGAGAAGCCTGCACCCAACCGATGAATTAGTCAATGCTCCAGGGCCCCAGCCAGACTCTATGACCAACCCTCCTTTCGCTGCAGTCTGGATCCCATGCCGTCGCCGCCTGAAAAGCGGCCGCCATCGCCCGCGCCGCGGCGTGGCTCCTGGCGCGGTGGAGGAGTTATTTTTTTGGCCGCAGCGCCCAGGCCCCTCGTTTTGACAGTGCACTGCACTGGCCGAGAGGCAGCACCACAACAGCGACATGAGACCACGCGTCGGCCCCGCATCCTGTTCTTGGAAGGGCTGAAGGAGGAGGAGGAGGAGGAGGAGGAGGAGGAGGAGGAAGAGGAGGAGGCGGAGGAGAAGGAGGAGGAGGAGCAGGAGGAGCAGGAGGAGAGGAGGAGGAGGAGGAGGGAGGAGGAGGAGGAGGAGGAGGGGGAGGGAGGAGGAGGAGGAGGGAGGACGAGGAGGAGGAGGAGGAGGAGGAGGAGGAGGAGAGGGAGGAGGAGAGGAAGGAGGACGAGGAGAAGGAGGAGGAGGAGAAGGAGGAGGAAACTCAGGGTCCCGCTCCGCGCGCCCGGCGTTCCAGGCCCGCGCGCGCCTAGCTAGATGGAGCCCGTCTCGTCGGGCACCGCGGCCTGGAGGTCACAGCTGTCCCCGCGGCGGCGGGTCTGCGACCCGCAGGTGCTCAGGGCGCCCGCCTGGCCCAGGTGGAAGCCGCTGAGCGGAGGAAGGCTCGTCGAGACCGGAAGAGGTTCGGTGTCTCCGGCTACACGCAGGGGTGACGCTGGGCAAGAGTGGCCTTTGGTGCACGGCCTTTTGATGGTGGCCGCGGGGGATGGCCAAACACGAGCGCGCAAGACGCCACTGCCGCCTTGCGCTGGGCGATCGGGGGGCCCCAGTGGGCGGGGACCGAAGGTCACCCTGGCGAAGGGTCACTCTTACGTGTACTCGATGTCTGTTCCATGGGAGCAAGCCCACGTGCCCCCAAGCGCTGTCCGATGTCGGCCTGATGATGACCAGATTTGGAACATCGGGAGCCGCCAAGAGGGGGGTGTCCAAGAGGGGGGGTGCAAATCATGACCGGCGGCATGTGCGCGGCCCAGCAGGGGGGCCAGGGAAGTAATGAAATAAGAAGGGGCGCCATAAAATCTGGTCATCACCCCCCTCTTTGCCGCCCCCGACCAGATTTGGAACACATCTGGTACCAAATTTGGACCGGGTCTGGACCGATCGGTACGCTCGGATGCCTTTGTCGAGTGAACCAAAGCAGGTTCCCGCGGTCGGCGTGTCTGGGTGGGCGTTATCTCGATGCCCGAGAAGCAGCGGCGGCCATCCATTGTTTTGCTTTGGTCCTTCCCAGAAGCCTTGGCGTCAGATCCGCGGTGCGTTGGTCGCTTGTCTGGCTGAAAGTTATGTCGGAGGTGCGAACCAAACGAAGCGAACAAAAGATGGCGCAAATGTCCGCTTCAGATAAAAAAAGGGCATGGCGGAAACAGTGACGGCTAAGTTGGGCGGACATCGACATCAAAGCAGGGCTTGAACAGCAGGGCGGAAGCTTCCACCCTACTTACGACATCGCCCAGGGTACGGCGGATCCGAAGTCAGGGCAGACGAGACACCCGCGGCCATCCTGAGGTCCGTTGTCGCCCTTCCCCGAAACCCTTGCGCCGCATTTTCTTCACAGCGAGCGACTTCGCCTCATGTAGGGCCGGGGGGCCATCACAGATCGCTCTGGCTCGAGGAAAGAATGCTGCGAAGAGGTAGGGCCCAAGGTTTCACTTGTGCTTTCTCCCACCTGACAGGTTGGGGGCGTTAAGTTTCAAAAGCGGACCTCCCGGCCCGCCAACCTCCCTGCATACTGCGGCAGCCAGATCCCCAGGTCCACCGAGAATCCCCCGAGACCCCCGCCTCGCGCCGACCCGCCCACTCTGCATACCGCGGCACCCAGATCGACAGGTCCACCCAGAATCCTCCGAGACCCCCGCTTCTCCCCTTCGACGAACACGACAGAACCTGACAGAACTGAGCATGACACCACACATCATGACATCACATAAACGTGGCACCCCCGAGAATACGACGACAAAACAGATCATGACGCAGTGGAACAGCACAGATAATACTGTACAATTGCGTGCCATGGCGAAGCATAACATAAAAGAGAACAGCATAACGTATGATGAGTTAACGGAGCGTGATATATCATAATGACTTCGCATAAATCAAGACAAACAGTGGTAATACCATGGCATCGCACCACACATACACGCTTGCAATGACAGATCGGAGCATGCATAACACACCGTAACAAAACACATCAGAACATACATCATATCCTAGCATACCAAGACATAGCATACCATAGCAAACCATCGCAGAGCAGAGCATACCCTAACACCGAATCACATCACCGACCATTACATACGATACCACAACATACCATGGCAATGAGCAACATGGCATATCATACAGTAGCCAGACAGATAGCATAGCATACTACCATAGCATAACATGTAATGACGAACCATAACATGACATAAGGTATGATACACGAACACACCATAAGAGCGCATGCAATGGTAGGGTTGGCCATACACAACAAATCATACAATCATATATCGTATGACGGCAAACCAAAGCATACCATGACAGACTATAGCGCAATCTAAAACTGCACTACAATTCAACACTTTCCAACCCATGGCAAAGCATACCTGACAGATCGCGGCATACCATATCATCTAAGGATAAAACACAAAATCGCAGAACAATCTACAATATTATATGCAATGGCGGAACAGAGCAGGACGGCACACTGCAGCCAGTTCCGGGATCCCGAGTTTCTAGTTCCGGACCGATTTCGGTGGGCGGCGGGGTTCCCGGGTTTCCGGGTCCCTGGGTTATTGGACAATCTCCTTGTCGATCGGTCTCACCATCGATCTCACGACCCACCTCTGTATTGATCTCACAATCGAGCCCACTATAGATCACACGAGCGATCTCACGATCGATCTCACGATCGATCTCACTGAATCGATTTCACGATCGGTCTCACGATCGACCTTACGATCGTCCTATTATCGATATCATAGTCGATCTCCGTATCCATACTACAAAGTTACAAGCCATCCACTGATTTGTTATTTTTCTATGGTGTAAGATATTGCTGACACCACGGCAACGACTCGACTTGAACACAACAGACTTTAACCGAATGCAGATGCACATCATGACAGAACATAACATAACATCATATACTGCACACAGCAGAACCAATCCCGCATAACAAACCAGAACTGATAGACTTGCTACCACTACGACAGCGAGCTTGACACAATATCATAGAATAGACGTTAATTCTAGAAGTGCTGCAATGTAGAGGTATACCTTAACAGATCATATCATGCTATAGCATGAAGAGCTTGTTCTCGCATCAGCAGCACCACTGAACAGATCAAACATCCCACAGCATGACAACACATATATTGTCTTCACGTTGTGCCACAGCGTTACGTATAATATTTCCAATCAGAGAAAAGCAATCCCAATATAGCACCCTTTCAAAGCAAGCGAACTAACAAAGTGAAGACGTGCGCGCCGAAGTCAGGCTGGCCACATGAAGGAAGAGGCGCAACAACGACCGATTGGACGACGTATCTGACGTGACAGGTGTCACGGCGTCACGCCGGCCCATCGGGAACAGAACAGGTCATAAGACAGCATACCATCATAAACCATGACTACATGGAACACAGCTGCATACTGTTGAATAAAGCAACGACAGCATTGAAAAGAACAATCACGACAGAACAGAACACAACATATCACAAAACAGCAGATCGTAATATACCACACGGACCCGCGCGTACCGTCGACAGCATCACGCACACAGCAGAAATGATCCGACAGAACATTTAGTGTCCTAGCGTAGTGCTACAGAGCAAATCGTCATATAAAAACGCGTACTGTGACAAAAGTGAACATAGCAGAGCACCCGTGCATCGACAAAGAACAAACAAAGGAAGAGGAACATCAAACCATGATAGACCGCACGATCATGGAATCAAAAGCGACGTGCGCGCCGAAGTCAGACTGGCCACAGGAAACAACAGGCGCAACAACGACCGGTTGGACGACGTATATGAAGTGACAGCCGACACGGCGTGACGCCAGCCCGTCGAGAACAGAACAGGCCATAAGACAGCATAACATCATAGAACATGACTGCACGGAACGTGTTTGAATACAGTCCTATACAGCAGGCCAGCTTCCAACAGAAACAACACGACATAACATACCAGAGTAGAACATAGCAGCACAAACTACAAAACGTTATGTGAATGAACTGCACATAGCGGAAACATTGAAATTGAACGGAGCATATTATAACGTAGCCTGACAGACCAGATCAGGTCACAACTGGATGCCACAGAGCAGGGCGCATCAGAACATACATCCCCAGAACGAAAGTTTGTCCTCTTGGGCCCGGAGCGGAGGTTTGAAGTCTCAAGCAGACGCGTGTGAGATACCCGCCGTCGGATCCAATGAAGTTCGCGCGGATCCAATGTTGGTTTTGGTTTGTGCTTCGGTGAATCCGATTTCCGTCCGGGCGGATCCGATTTCGGATTTGCTGGATCCGTGTTCGGTCCTATTTTTCACGGCGGATCCGATGTTTCTCTGCTTTAAGTCGGATCCAATGAAGTTCGCGCAGATCCAATTTTGGTTTTGGTTTGTGCTTCTGTGGATCCGATTTCCGTCCGCGCGGATCCGATTTCGGATGTGCTGGATCCGTGTCCGGTCATATTTTCCACGGCGGATCCGATTTCTACCCTGTTTTCACTTATATTATTAAAGGGAAAAAAGCCGACAGAAATCAGATCCGCGGACCCCGCAAACCGCCCGTGTTAAGATTCTACAGGGGACGGGGGGTTCTGTAATCAATTTTCCACGATGGGCGCTGCGTCGTCTCGCGCGTTCCCATCAACTCCCCGCGCGAGCGGGCCCCATTCTACATCAATACATACATCCCTCTCACCCCGCTTGCTGCAAACAGCTCGTCTGGTCGCCGTCCGTTCGGCGGCGCCGACGTTGTCTCGCGAACTCCCCATGGCCATTTTCACCTCAAGAAGAGAATCTTTCGTCCGGCGTAAGTAACAAATCATACTGTGCCAGAGGTGAGCATACCAGAGCACACTCCAACGGAAGAGAAACACAAAAAAGACGACGAACTCCTGCTCCTCCTAACAGTTATGGTGTCTCGCTGCCCGCGTTTTGGGAGCCTGATGTTTCGCCCCAGTGCTTGTGTCGCTGTCTTTCGTCCGGGGCTTTGGGGGGCCGTGAGAATTCTGGGCAACGGCATCTTGCGACCTCCCTCGGCCGCCACGCTGGCCAAGACCACCGGGCCCCGCGCACATCGTTCCGGTAGGCGTGCGCACCGTCGGGAACAAACACCGAACATTTCGAAGGGGATCGCTCGAAGCAAAACAATGTCTGCGATCTTTCTGTGTATTAGCACGGCTGATCTCAGGGTCAGTCGAGACAACCCAATTCATGCTCGCGCCGTGCAAGACTCACGAAGGATGATGTTCTGCTGTTTTCGGCCCCTGGGGCCCCTCGCCATGACCAGGATCATCAAAATACAACGCGGGATGAACACCCAGCCCTGAGGACAAGGTTGGGGCTTCTGGGGTCCACGTTGTAAAAAATGGCGACGAAGCTAGAGGCCTCCTAGATGGGGTCCGAGTAGACGGAACGGGGTCGGAGGATCGCGCCGAATCGCCGATACATCGGCAATGCATCGGCGATGCATCGGCGATGCACCTGCGAGGCATCGTCGACGTCGGCAATGCATCGGCGACGTCGACGTCAAGCAAATCGGAATTCACATCGAGCCGCATCGGCGATGCACGGGCGATGCGGCGCGATCCTCCGACCACATCTACACCGACCCCATTTACGAGGCATCGAGGAGTATGTAAGGGCTGGCGGCCATTCCTGTTTTTTCCGTTTCTTGATGGGTATAGTTTAACCGATCCCCATCCCCGGCGGCGTGGCCTGGGCCCCACTGGCCGATTTCCCCCCCTGGCTGGGGATATGGGTCTTCCCCTTCGGGCTTCGAGGGGTGCATCCCCAGCTGGGGGCGGGTAATTTGGTGGGGGTCTCGCAGGGGCTGGGGATGGGGATGGGGGTGGGGATGGGGGTCTCGAAGGGAATGGGAATGGGGTCTCGAAGGTGGTGGGGATGGGGGTCTCGAAAGGAATGGGGGTGGGGATGGGGGTAATTTGGTGGGGGTCTCGAAGGGGCCGGGGATGGGGATGGGGGTGGGGATGGGGGTCCAGCCGTGGCGTCGAGGCGACTCGATGCCACGGCTGGATTCGCCTCGGAAAGCACGGGCCAGGGTGGGCCCGGGGAGGGCCCGCAGGAGGAGGTCCCCGGGGACGCGCTCCTCTTCCGCGGAGGTGGGCCCGGCGGGGGAGCCGCCGTTCGCTCCGCCCAGGCCCCCGACGTAGCCCTCTTTTCATGTTTATACTACTGCTTTTATAACACACACACACACACACACACGCGCACACACACGCACACGCACACACACACACACACACATACACACACACACACACACGCACACACACACACACACACACACACACACACACACACACACACACACACACGCACACACACACACAACAAAAAAGGGCAACGATGTTTACACATATCCGCTGCTCCCTGGCCAGGTCCATCCTGAACCCAGCAGCTGTGTATACGACACGCCCTCCTCGCGTGGCCAGGAGGGCGTATACACAGCTCCTGGTTTCTGGATGGGCCTGGCCAGGGAGCAGTGGATACGTATAGATCCCGTCGCCCGAAACTTTCACGCGGGCCCCAGATGTCTGGAACCCTTCCCCAGGACAGGCTCTCCGTCCTGAGTCGTCCCTTGACGGCCCTTCGGCCCGGTGCGGGCCCCCAGGGACCGACAGCTCTGAAAAACCTTGCGCCGCGTTTTCTTTTCCGCGACGCGGGGGGGTCAACGAGCCCCCTCCGCGCTGGGGGGCCCGGCCGAGCTGCCGAGCTGCCTGCGCCGCTTCCTGGCGCGGGGGTCCCGCAGGTGCGGGGTCGACGAGCTCGAGACGCCCGAGGAGCCGTAGCCGCGCGCGCGGCTCTCCGCCAGGGACCGGGGCGCGCGGGACTCCGCGAGGCCGTCGACGGTGCCTTGGTGGCTGGAGCCGCCCCGGGCGGCCGCTGTGGACATGTGGCTGGGAGCGCGGGGCCGCTTGGGCGCGCGGAGGGCTGACGAGGCTGCCTCGACCAGGCTGCACGCAAGAGCGAGCCTGCAGGCAGGAGGGACCCGCGGCGCGCGCACAAACAGCTCCAGGGAGCCGCCAGGCGCCGCCAGGGGGAATCCAAGTCCAAGCGAGCAAGTCCATGGGCTCCCCCGCGTCTCCCGGCGTGATGTTTTGGGGGCCTACAAAGGCCCCAAGACGGGCCTGGAGGGCTCCCAGAGGCCGCCAACACGGTCCAAGAGGGACCCGACACGCCCAATGATGTCTCCAAGACGACCAAGATGGCCCCAAGACGGCCCAAGAGGCCTCCAAGACGCCCCAAGAGGCCTCCAAGAGGCCTTTAAGAGGCCTCCCGAGAAAGCCCCAAGAGGCCAAAGTCTTTCATTTTACGCAGGTTGTTGCAGGATTTGGGCCTTCTCGCCTTTCCTGCTTTCCCGTGCTACAAGACGGCTCAAGAGGCTCCCAAGACCACCCCAAAACAGCCTAAGAGGCCTCTCAGAGGGCCCCACGACGGCCTAAGAGGAGGCACCCAGGCGGCCCCAAGAAACCCCCCATGAGGCCCCAAGAGGCCCCCAAGAGGCCCCCAATAGGCCCCAAGACGGCCCCAAAACGGTCCCCAAGAGGCTCCAAAACTGCCTCCAAGAGGCCCCCGAGAGGCCTCTCACGAGATCCCAACGAACATCCAATAGGCTTCATACCAACAACCCAGGCACGGTGGGGGCATGGGGCATAGAGCATTGGATATCTGGACCCCTCCACTGGGGCCGACTGCTTCTGTGTCTGGGGCTCCCGAGGCCCCGCAAGGGCCCCCGGAGGCAGAAATTTACGAACAACCTTCCGTCGTGAGTTTTGTCATGACGCATGGGGGTATGGGAAGGTCACTCCGGCGAAAGGGGTTTCGCGTGGGCTCTGAGACCCGACCTTGCGAGCAATAATGCACCATTGCGAAAGCTCACCACCGGAGCCCTAGACCTGGACCCCATCTTTCTGTGCCGTTTTTGAGCCCGATCTATACGTGAGGGTCCAGGTCCGGGGCCCAAAACCAGGGCAAGATCGCCCGCTGAGAAGAAATAGCGACGCCAGGAGCTCAGGGTAGCCCCTGTCCCAAACCAGACTTCATTCGGGCGTTGGTAGAACTGGGTTTAGTGGAACCTGGTTTAATGATCAGTACCGGGGGCGCCCCCCCGTCCACTAACCGGAACTGCCGTCACCCGAAAAAACACCAGCTATGCCAAACCTGGTCTAGTGATTCTGGCCAATTCGAAAGCTCCGGGGCCCTACCACTGACCGGGTCCCCTTACCCGGGGTCCTGGCCATACCCGATTCATGATTGTTCATGACGTGATCCCCAGAGGTCTCGACCCCTTCCCCAGGACGGGCTCTCCATCATGACTCGTTTCTGGATGGTCCTGCTGCCCCCAAAAACGGCCGAACACCTTCCTGGCGAAATCTGTCTCGTGACTCGAGGGGGCCTGGGGACGGCCAGCACCCACAAAAACACAACAACTCGGAGGTCTGCGCGGATTTCTGGGATCCGCGCTGGGGACCCCTTGGCGGCGCCTCCAGCGCCGCCCCTGGCGCGCTCCACGCGCCAGGGAGGGGGGTCCACCGCGGATCCCAGAAATCCGCGCGGACCTCGAAGATTTTATGTTTATGTCATTTTTCGTTCCCCTAACCAAGCTACTCCCCAGACCTCTTCTGGGGGGGTGCGTTCTGACACGGATTTCGAAGCGAATCCAGCGGTGGCGACGAGGGCCTCCGAGGAGTTTCTCCTCTGACAGAGGCCGCTCTGGTTGAGTCGGGCGTGTCCCCCTACAGGGGGATTTCCGACAAAACATAAAAGATACCCCAAAAAGATTCAAAGGATACCCAACAAAAACTCAAAAAAACACAGTCCCCAGACTATTGTTTGACTATTTTTGGATATTCCCACTGAGGAGGGGCAGGCCCGACGTAACGCTCTGGCGAGTGGCCCACGCCGAAAAGGCCGCTCTGGCGAAAGTCCGCTCTTGCGCGCGGCTGCCTCGACGTGCGTGCGGAGGGCCGCCTCTGGCGCCGGGCCGCCCAGCGGGGGGGGCGGCATCGCCAGGGCGGGCTGTCGGAGCGCCCCCGGGCGGCCGTCCTGTCGCTGACGAACAGGCAAAAAGTCAAGGGGCCATGGGACACACAAATAAATGCACACACACAAATAAAACGATTCCCAACATTTTCGCATATCTTCTGGGCGTTAGTCTGCCCCTCCACTTCCCATATTTTCGCATATTTGCTATGGGAATCGACGATTCATTGTGTCTGTGTGGTTTGTCCCCTCCTGAAAAAAAAACCTGACGGCACGCGAGAGGACACAGCGCGACTTCGCGCGGCGGATCACGCAGGCCGCAGGCGCGGCACGCAACGTCGGAAACGAGGGCGCTCACCCACGACCTTGCTCAGGCAGCCTGGGCGCGCCAGTGTCCACGCAGTCGACTCCGTTTCCCTTCGTCGCGCGGATGCCTTCAGTCCCAAACCCTCTCGCGTCGCGACCGGCCATCGCTCGGACGTCCATTCCCTGTGTGTTGTTTGATTTCGTGCGTGCGTTTTTCGCCAAATGATCAAGGATGCTCCTCGATGGCCCTCGCCGAGAAAAAATGTACACGTCCGAGCGATGCCAAGCGCGAAGAGACATCGCAGCGGACGGCCCTCGGCCATGCTCTCGGCTGCCAGCCCTCGCCGGGGCCCTGACGCATCAGAAAACGACTCGGGATCAGAAACCAGCCCTGGGGAAAGGGTCGGCGCCACGTCGCCACCAGCATACGGCAGGTTCGCGTCGTATCGACTTCGGCGCTGGTTTCTGACCCCGCGGGGATCGTTCAACCTTGAACGATCGGCCGCTTCCGCAATCTCTAAATCGTTCCACATCGAACGATTCTGGGTCGCCCGCGGCGTTCCACGTTGAACGACGATGACGGGGTCGCCGCCGGTCGACACGACCCGAACCGACCGTACTCCGGTTTCCATAACAAAGTGGGGGGGATCACATTCGGGGGAGGTCTGATTTGAGCTGTCTTGGAGGGTTCAGGGGGGGTCTGGGCAAAGGGCCGCCCTTTCATGGATGGTCTGGGAGAGTCTAAAACTTCTCGTCTGGGAGGGTTGAGACCCCCTCCCTCTTATTACAAAATCTGGAGTAAGCGAGGGTATCAGCCTCCTCGCGCGTCCTCGGGGTCTTCCTCGCTCGCTCTGTCGGGAGGCGCCCGGTCGAGGGGCCTCGCTGGCTTCTGCTGCGACCGGGGTCGCTGTCGCTCCCTTGGCGGTGGGCCTTCCGGGCACCCCGTACCACGACAAGTAAATCGGGCCTGTCCATCTACAGGAGGAATGTTGACAAATTGTCCAGAAAAACCGAATTGAGACCACGTTTTGATTATGGTTGGCCAGTTTGGGATATGTTTTGACTATTATTCATTTTTCCTCCAAGCTCCGCCTGTAGGGGGACATGCCCCACCTAACACGACAGCAACACAAAACACGCATTGGACGCCTTCAGCCCCACAGGTCCGACGAGGTGGTCTTGCAACGAGCGCGCCCCCAGGGAGGAGGCCCCGACCACGGGGGCCGTACCCCTCGCCCCGTGGGGCCAGAGTCAGGCGATCGCAAACATGGATTAAGGGGGCGTGGATTAGCGACGGATCCCGTTTCCATGAGAAATCACGGATTTCCGCCGCCGAGCGAGGCGGCACTGGCCGCATTTTGGGAAGGGCACCACCCCCGATTCATGGATTTGGCGACCGCGCGCCAAATCCATGGATCGCTAATCCATGTTTGCGCGCCCCCGGGAGAGGCCCCGAGCTATCGGGGCAGCCTCTCGCCCCCCCCCGGGGAGGTCCAGGTACACAGCGGGCCCCACAGGGGCCGACCTCGAGGAGGAGCGCCAGGCTGGAAGCCGACAGGTCGTCGGAGTTCTGCGCTGATGGATGTTCGAGGATGGCAGTGGACGAGGAACAGGAGGAGGAGAAGGAGGAGGAGGAGGGGAAGAAGAGGATTATAAGGAGGAGGAGGAGGAGGAGGGGGAGGAGGAGGAGAAGGAGGAGGACGACGACGACGAGGAGCAGGAAGGGGACGAGGAGGGGCATGGTTGTTCGAGGATGGCAGGGGATGAGGTGCAAGTGCCGTCAACCCGTATCATAAGGATGCGCGATAGGATGCACGGGGCTGGCCAGCGAACGGGGCTGGCCAGCCCCACGTAAACGTGAACGGGGCTGGCCAGCGAAAGTCGCTAAGGATGGGCCGAAGGGGCAAGGAGGCAGGGGTACCCTTGGGAAGCTTGCCCATCCTTACTGTGCGAGCTGACTGTAACTGACTTACGACGTTGCTGTTATGCGCGGCCCACCCCTCTTCTATGATGGGCTGCGGCCTCGGTTGCTCTCATCCTTACCGTGCGGGTTGGCTGGATCGTCGGAGGGCTGCGTGGATGGAGGCTCGAACGGGAGGTCTGGGTTCAATTGTGCCGCGGCTGCCTTGGAGCAGGTGGCGCTTACAGCTACCTAAGGAACCCCAAATAAGGAACGAGGCCCCTTTTTCCCATGAGATAAACTTCGATTTCCCATCGAACCCCCAAGCAAAACCCAAGGCGAACTGCAAAACAACTAAGGAACACCGAGCCCCTCTCCAACGAAAAGGGTTCCTTCCTCAGCGCCCCGACTCTACAGCCACCCAGCACAAGAAGGGCGCGCGAGAAGGACGCAGGGGCATCGAAGGCCATGCCGACCCTTTGCGGACGGGGCGCGGCCAGCGAAAGCGGCCAAGGATGGCCGAAGGGGAAGGATGCAAGGGCGACCTCCGCAGCTGTCTTGAAGCAGCTGTCCCGGAACAGTGCCAGCGGGACCTGCCGAACCCAACAGCAAGCAGCAGTCAGGAGAGGTTGGAGGAGCGAGAACGTGCCGATCACCGCCCCCCGTGGTCCCAACCCTTTCACTGGGGCTTGCTTCCCGCCCCAGGCCCGTCTCTGATGGCCCCGGGGCCCGGCAACGCGCCCCAGGGGCCGAAAGTTATGAACAGCGCCGGGGCTTTCTGGAAGAAGTCATATCGTAGAGGCCTCCTATAGATGGGACCGGAGTAGACGGGGTGGGAAGATCGCGCCACATCGCCGACACATCGGCGCTAAATCCATCGCCGATGCGTCCGCGACGCATCGGCGACATCGGCGATGCAACGGCGACTTAAGTGTGGAGATCATCGGGCTCTGCATCGAGCCGCGTCGCCGGATGCCTCGACGATGCGGCGCGACCCATCTACTCGGAGCCCAACTGGGAGGCCCAAACAAGCCCCCTCTGACCTCCTCCTCCTCCTCCTCCTCCTCCTCCTCTTCCTCCTCCTTCTCCTCCTCCTCTGCAGTACCAAGGCTCTTTCCTGGGGCGCCTGCTGCGCAACCCAAGGCCTTCCGTTCCTGGGCTGCCTGCCGGCGTCGCGCCTCGAAGCGGACTTGCAGCCTGAGTCGTTTCGGTGAGGGCCCTTCGGGCCGTAACTCCGCTCTCTGGCGACCGTTCGGGCCGATCCACGCGCTCCCGGAACGCTCTGAGCGAGGCGCAGCTGCTGAAAGGCACCCCAGGGCTGAAAAACTGCCGACTGTCGGCGAAGGCGTCCAACACCTCAGGCCTCGACCCTGAGCTCATTCCCCCCCCTGACGTGGGAAAGGCACCCCGAGGCTGCAACACCCCGAGGCTGCAACACCCCGAGGCTGCAGGATCGACGACGGCGCCCCAAAACCTCAGGCCTCGACCCTGCACCCATTGGAAAGGCACCCCGAGGCCGAAACACCGCCGAAGATCCACGAAAACGTCCCCAAACCTCAGGCCTCGACCCTGAGCCCATCCCCCCCTGACGTTGGAAAGGCACCTGGAGGCGGAAACACCACCGAGGATCGACGAAGGCGCCCCAAAACCTGAAGCCTCGGCCCTGAGCCCATCCCCCCCCTTCCTCGTGACCCAGGGGGGTCCAGCTGAAAGGGGTGGTGCAATAGATTTGGGGCAATTGTATTGCGAATGTAATGCGCCAGAGAACTGGATTGCACTGTCTTGTAACGAATGTTTTGCACGAGAAAATCCAGCAATACAGATGCGCACTGGAGTGTTACTGCACACCCCCGAATCCTTCGCAACCCCACAAATCCATTGCACCAGATCTGTTGCACCGCCCCCTTTTCGCTGGACCCCTTCTTGGGTCAACCAGACCCTCTGACGTTGCCCCGCTGGGGGGGTCCCACATCGAGCCGCATCGGCCATGCAAGGGCTATGCGGCGCGATCCTCCGACCCATCTACTCCGACCCTATCCCGGAGGAGGCCTGAGCAATCCCTTCTGACCTCCTCCTCCTACTCCTCTCCTCCTGCTCCTCCCCCTCCTCCTCCTCCTCCTCCTCCTCCTCCTCCTCTCCTCCTCCTCCTCCTCCTCCTCCTCCTCCTCCTCTCCTCCTCCTCCTCCTCCTCCTCCTCCTCCTCCTCCCCTCCTCCTCCTCCCTCCTCCCCTCCTCCTCCTCCTCCTCCTCCTTCTCCTCCTCCCGTCCTCCTCCTCCTCCTCCTCCTCCTCCTCCTCCTCCTCCTCCTCCTCTGACGATGCCCCGCTTGGGGGGGTCCTGTGGCGCCTGCTGGCGACGCGCCTCGAAGCCGGCGGAGGGCGGCGCCCCGCAGGGCGGCGCGGCGGCGCGGCGGGCGGCCGAAGCCTCGGCTGCGTCCCGCACGTCCACCACGCGCAGCGCGCCGTCGGGCAGCCCAAAGGCCGCCAGGTCGCCGTCGGGCAGGTCCTCGGAGACTGCACTGGACGGGGACAACAATCCTCCTCCTCCTCCTCCTCCCCCCTCCCCCTCCTCCTCCTCCTCCTCCTCCTCCTCCTCCTCCTCCTCCTCCTCCTCCTCCTCCTCCTCCTCCTCCTCCTCCTCCTCCTCCTCCTCCTCCTCCTCCTCCTCCTCCTCCTTCTCCTCCTTCTCCTCCTCCTCCTCCTCCTCCTCCTCCTCCGTCCTCTCCTCCTCCTCCTCCTCCTCCTCCTCCTCCTCCCCCTCCTCCTCCTCCTCCTCCTCCTCCCTCCTCCCTCGTCCCTCCCCCTCCTCCCTCCTCCTTCCTCCCTCCTCCCCCCTCCTCCCCTCCTCCTCTCCTCCCTCCTCCCTCCTCCCTCCTCCCTCCTCCCTCCTCCCTCCTCCCTCCTCCCTCCTCCCTCCTCCTCCTCCCTCCTTCCTCCTCCCTCCTCCCTCCTCCCTCCTCCTCCTCCTCCTCCTCCTCCTCCGCCTCCTCCGCTCCTCCTCCTCCTCCTCCTCCTCCTCCTCCTCCTCCTCCTCCTCCTCCTCGGGGACTGATCTGGACGAGGGAAATCGAATAATAAAAAACGCCCAAAGCTTATGTCTATGTCTATGCCGTTCTTTTTTCCTCGAGAAAATGATCCCCACCCCACTGGGGGAGACCTGGGCCCTGCGGGGCAATTTACCCCCCTTATAGGTGGGGATGGGTGCCGTCTCCTCCGGGTTTCGAAGCACCCATCCCCACCTGGAGGGGGTACGCTGGGAAAGTCAACTTACCCTACCCTTGTGGGGGGGATGGTTCCGACGATGATGAACCGTGCTGTGGCAACTCGTGGGGGATCTCCATGCCTCAGTGGGCACTAGAAACGACAGGGCCGCTTTTGATACCGGTTATGTTTGGCTGTGTTTGTTGCCGGCCCCGGCGGCGATTTTTTTGCCGGTTCAGTCGCCGTTTGTTTGCCAGTTCTGGGTCCGGTTCCAACCCCGGAGCCGTTTTGTTACCGTTCCTGGTCGCCGTTTTTTAACCCTTTCCATTTTCAAGAGAGACTTTTTGAAAACGGTGAAAAACGCTTCCGGGGCCCACTAAGGGCCTCCATGCCATCCTGCTAGCTCATGCGAGCTGACGCTGGCCGACGCCAATCGACGCGAAGTCGACGCTAGATCGACGCATCCACATCAAGTGCCAGGAGCAAGCGCAAGCTAACGCACTCTGAACATTAAACCTCGAGGACATACAACGCTCCCATGACTTGCTACCGAATGGTTTGGGTTAGGTGTTCACCCAAACAACCTTGCGTCGTGAAAAAATCGCGACGGCTGGATTTCTACTATTTTCGAATCCTGGGGGCCCTCGGGCCCTGGGACTGTCAGAACACGACTCAGGATGAACAAACAGTGCTGGCGCATGGGTCAACCTCATGTGGTTCACGTTGGGCAGGTCCTCGGGGTCGGGGTGGGGCTCGACTTGGGGCTCGCCTGTCTGAGTTTTTTTTCGGGCTTTCAGGATTCTCCGTTCGAGGCAGGATTCTCCGTTCGAGGTGTTCGAGTGTGTCTGACGTTTTCGTGGGAGCCCCCTGGATTTCCAGCCTCGGGCGGCCCCTGGGCGGTGGCACGCCTGGGCGTAACCCGGTGCTGTGCGCAACCCGCGCGTGCCACCGCCCAGGGGTGGATCCCCCGAGCAGTTCTCGGTGGCGGTGGCCTCTGCATCTCCTCCTCCTCCTCCTCCTCCTCCTCCTCCTCCTCCTCCTCGGCCTCCTCCAGAGGTCCGCGGGCTCGCCGTCGGCGGTGGCCTCGGAGACCTTGGCGAAGACGAGGTGGCACTGCACCTTGGAGAGGCCGAGCTCCAGCATCTCCTCGTAGCGCACCTCCGCCAGCTGCTCGATGGACTCGACGCCCAGCCTGCAGAACGAGCCCTCGAAGTCCTCCAGGCCCAGCTCCGCGAGCATCTGGCCCAGCAGCATCGCCCACGGGCGTGCGGCGGCCTAGCCAGAGCGGCCGCCGGGCACATGCTGGGCCATGCCGGCTGAGCAGAAATCGCCACTGAGAGTGAGGAGGCGCATGGGAGAGCAAGGAGGTACCGATGTCGCCACTCCGCGAACCTCCCTCGGGGTTGCGTGCTGACAAGGACTTCGACGAGAGTCCGGCCGTGTCGTGCCTTTTTCACGCCTCGAGGGGATCCCCTGGGACTTCCTAGGACTTCCTGGGACTCCCTGGGACTCCCTGGGACTTCCCAGGATCTCCCAGGACTTCCTGGGACTTCCCTGGCCCTTCCTGGGGCTTTTTTTCTGGAATTTCCTGTAGATTTCCCCGGATCTCCCTATAGGATCTCCTGTGACTTCCTGGCACTTCCTGGGGCTTTTTCCTGGGAATTCCTACAATATTTCCTAATAGGATCCCCCATAGCATCTCCTGGGCCTCCGGAGGCCCGCCGCGGGCCGCGGGGGGGGTGCCCACGGGCCGGCACGCGGGGCCTCTCTCTCCCCCCACGGCGGGCGCGCGGGGAGCCGCACGGCGCGAGAGAGAGGGAGAGGGGCCCACAGAGGACGTGCGCGCCCAGCCAAGTACAGGGCAGTTTTCAATGCGTCAGATGTTTTAGAATATAGGTTTTTTCTCATACATGATCAATGTATGAATAAATGTATGCATGAACGCATCGCTGTTTTTGATAGTAAGACCATGCATTTGTTTGTACATGATCCGCACGCAGAACATGTATTGATTATCCCCGCAAAGCAACCTAACAGCGATGTGTAGGAGCATATCTGGAAGCATTCCCCTTAAGATTCAGATGAGAATCCAGTTGTAGAATTCTGCTGTTCTCGCAGTCGTAGTCGCATTCGCGATGACAGTCGCAGTGGCAACGGCAGTCGCAGTCACAGCCTCAGCCTCAGCCTGCCTCAGCCTCAGCCTCAGCCTGCCTCAGCCTCAGCCTCAGCCTCAGCCTCAGCCTGCTTCAGCCTCAGCCTCAGTCTGCCTTCAGCCTCAGCCTCAGTCTGCCTTCAGCCTCGGCCTCAGCCTCAGCCTGCCTCAGCCTCAGCCTGCATCAGCCTCAGCCTCAGCCTCAGCCTGCCTCAGCCTCAGCCTGCCTCAGCCTCAGCCTCAGCCTGCCTCAGCCTCAGCCTCAGCCTGCTTCAGCCTCAGCCTCAGTCTGCCTTCAGCCTCGGCCTCAGCCTCAGCCTGCCTCAGCCTCAGCCTGCATCAGCCTCAGCCTCAGCCTCAGCCTGCCTCAGCATCAGCCTGCCTCAGCCTCAGCCTCAGCCTGCCTCAGCCTCAGCCTCAGCCTGCTTCAGCCTCAGCCTCAGTCTGCCTTCAGCCTCGGCCTCAGCCTCCGCCTGCCTTAGCCTCAGCCTGCAGCCTCAGCCTCAGCCTCAGCCTGCCTCAGCATCAGCCTGCCTCAGCCTCAGCCTCAGCCTGCCTCAGCCTCAGCCTCAGCCTGCTTCAGCCTCAGCCTCAGTCTGCCTTCAGCCTCGGCCTCAGCCTCAGCCTGCCTCAGCCTCAGCCTGCATCAGCCTCAGCCTCAGCCTCAGCCTGCCTCAGCATCAGCCTGCCTCAGCCTCAGCCTCAGCCTGCCTCAGCCTCAGCCTCAGCCTGCTTCAGCCTCAGCCTCAGTCTGCCTTCAGCCTCGGCCTCAGCCTCAGCCTGCCTCAGCCTCAGCCTGCATCAGCCTCAGCCTCAGCCTCAGCCTGCCTCAGCATCAGCCTGCCTCAGCCTCAGCCTCGGCCTGCCTCAGCCTCAGCCTCAGCCTGCTTCAGCCTCAGCCTCCGTCTGCCTTCAGCCTCGGCCTCAGCCTCCGCCTGCCTCAGCCTCAGCCTGCCTCAGCCTCAGCACCAGCCTGCCTCAGCATTCAAAATGTGGCCCGGGAATGGAGTTCTGGGAACTCGAAAAACACGAAATGGCAAAAAAGGAATCCCCGGATTCCTGGGGCACCCGTCCGGCATCTGCCCAGACCCCCCTGGTGAGTCATGATGCTCTCTTTTGACACTACTAGAAACCGATCAGTCCTCGCTGTTAGGTAAAAACGGCACTGCACACGAACACGGCCCCTCGATCCGCGAGGCCGTCCGCGCGAAACGAACATCCGCGCAGTGCATACTCTCGCAGCCAACACGGCCTCATGGACGTGTGCATTCCTTTCTTCGCTCCCGAGAGAGAGGGGGGCGCGGAGGGAGCGCGAAGCGTCGGGACCCCGCGCGCTGCAGTCGGCCCGCAGCCGACGGGTGCGCGGCAGGGAGGCCGGGGGGCCTCGGGCAGCCCACCCCGACGCTCTGCCGGCGGGGGCGCGGCCGACGAGAGTGGCCCAGGACGGGCCGAGGGGGCGAGGACGCGAGGGCAATTGCCCTCGGGAGGGTTGCCCGTCCTCACCGTGCGGGCTGACTGCACGGAGAGGTTCGCGGCCCCAGAGCCACGTCTGCACGCAGGAGCGGCCCTGAGCGAGAGTTGGCCTGTGGTGCGCGGCTGTGGTGGGGCGCGGGGGGGGGGGGGCCAAGCCCGAGCGCGCAAGCCGCCGCTCTCGCACCTCCGCGGTCCTGGGGCCCCAGTGTTCGGCGGTGGACACACGTCCCTTTCGTAGACCTCCCCTTTGTGAAAACGGCCTGGGACCGAAACCGACGGACCTGGACCCGCAAAAATGACGGCCGCGACGCCCTCTCGCGAACCGAGAACGGCCAATGCCTTAATGGGCGTGTCAGGGTAGGAGGTCTATCCACCCCCGAAGTGTGCCCGCACAAAACGGTCACTCCGGCGAAAAGGGTCACTCTTATACGCGTAGCCGACAGAGACCCCGGGGCCGAGAGAGCACCTGCAGACGTAGCAAGGGCGAGGATGAAAGCGGGTGGGGATAAATCGAGAATTTCTGGGGTCCCGCGGCTCTGGAGGATGTCTCGGGCGCCGCGGCCTTCTCAGAGCGTTCCCGAAGGCTCTGAGAGCGTTCCGGAACGCTTTGGAACGGTTCGTCCTCGTCCTGGCCCCGTCCGACACTTGTTGGATCTGAGGCGAGATGGGTCCAGAACGCGGTCGGCTGACGACGGGACGCGTCGAAAGCGACTCACGCACGCAGGAGTAAGACGGCGGGAGCGAAGGGGTGTGGAGTGGAGGGCCGCGGAGCGGCCAGAGCGCCCTCGGAGCGTGAAGCACTTCGGGAGGTGCCGGGGTCGAGAGAGCACATGCAGAAAGGCAGAAGCCTCCAGGATGGAACCTGAGCGAAGTGGGAGGCCTCAGATGGCACCGCATCACCGGCGCACCGATGCACTGAGGAGGCATCGGGGATGTCGGGGTGCAGAGAAAATCCGCCAGCATCCCCTGCGACGGCCATCCGGCTGCGCAGGTCAAGCTTCTTCAACTGAGGACCTCATCTCCCGCCAGCGCAGATGAGTCGATTTGCATGGTTGTATTCTCCCGGGGAGCTCCGCAGCTTGGCAATCACGATTATGTGAGTCCCCGGCTCTGGAAGGACAGAACTGATCAGGTATTCGAGAGGAGAAGGGGGGAGGAGGCGGAGGAGGAGGAGGAGGAGGAGGAGGAGGAGGAGGAGGAGAGGAGGAGGGAGGAGGAGGAGGAGGAGGGGGGAGGGGAGGAGGAGGAGGAGGAGGAGGAGGAGGAGAGGAGGAGGAGGAGAGGAGGAGGAGGAGGAGGAGGAGGAGAAGAAGGAGAGGAGAAGAAAAAACAAAGAAACAACACAGAAAACAAAGGAAAAGGAGGAAGAGGAGGAACAAAACGGAGAAGGAGGA